TCCTTCTGGTAACGTGGCGACCAAAACTGTACATAATACACCAAATGCAGCCTAACAAGGATTTTATATAGCTGCAACATGGTTTGCCAACTCTTGTACTCCAAGCCCCGGCTGATGAACGCAAACATTCCATGTGTCTTCTTAATCACTTCGGCCACCCATGCTGCCACTTTAAAGGCACTGTGGACCTGTATGCCCGGATCTGTCTGCATGTTAACGTTCCTAAGGGTTCTGCCATGAGCAGTATAATTCACATCTAAATGGGATCCTCCAAAATGTATCACCTCGCTTTTGTCTGGATGAAGCTCCATCTGCCATTTCTGAGCCCAAGTCACCAATCTATAGCCAGCTGTATCCTTTCACAATCGTTGGCACTATCAGCAACTCTGCAATTCTTCATGTCATCTGCGAAGTTACTAATCAGACCACCCACATTTTCGTCCACGTTACAAACAACAGAGGACCCAAGACTGATCCCTATGGAACACCACTAGTTACCGGTCTCCATTCTGAAAAACATCCTTCCACCGCTATCCTCTGTCTTCTATGACCAAGCCAGTTTGTATCCATCTAGCCAGCCCACCCCGAATCCCATGTGAGTTTAGTTTTTGTATCAATCTGCCACATAGGACTTTATCAAATGCCTTACTAAAGTCCATATAAACTACAACTACAGCTCTTCCCTCAGTTATCTTTGTCACCTCTTTCAAAAAATTCACATCAGGTTGGTGAGATATGACCTTCTCTGTACGAAACCATGCTGCTTGTCACTAACGAGTCTATTTTCTACCAAACGTGCATATATCCTATCCCTCGGTATCTTTTCCAGGAGCTTCCCAACCACAGCCTATGATTTCCTGGATTACCCCCGCTTCCTTTCTTAAACAAGGGACAACACTGGCAGAACCTTATTGCTTACTTTATCATTTTAAACACAAATTAAGGACTGTTCAGAAGATATGAAGAATGCATTTCAGTTATTTCTCACAGTATGTTAGATTTTGAACAGATTAGCAAACATAATCCACTTTGGGATTTGTTCAGTGATAATTAACTGCAGTTAACTCCATTGATCAGCAAAGTGATAATTGTCATACAAGGTTACAATATAATTTCATGGCTAGTTTCAAATTAAAACATTGTTTGACTACTAAGTTGCTATAATCCAATGTCTTATCCGTAAGGTCTGATGCAATAATTTTTTTTTTAAGTTTTGATTCCCTGTTACACATTAGAGTTCTACAACCAACATGAGCAGCAAGCTCTTCAGAGAACATAAGAGAATGCACAAGCTGATCTTCATGCCAAATTTCCCCTTCTCCATTTGAGCAAAGAGAGAGACTTGGAATTGTGCAAGCATCTTTGAAATAATTTCATTTCATAGAATCCCTACAGTGTGGAAACAGACCCTTCGGCCCAACCAGTCCGCACCGACCCTCTTAAAACACTTCACATATAGGAAATCAGTTAAAAATGCAAAAGGAAGATTCTGCTGAATAGAATGAGTCAAATTGTATTTCCTAAAAGGAGGAGTGTTGCCAAGGATACCAGGAGAAATTGTTGTTTTCTGTATACCATAGACCTCATTGTCTAACTACTGAGTCGACTAGAACAAGCTCGCATTAAAAAAAAAGTTCATCAGGCAGACACCTCATGCAGAATTGAATATGCTTTACTTATTATCTGTGACTCCAATGTGGAGCTCAAACCTAAAAGCATGTAACCCAAAGATAAAAGTGCTGCCAATGATTGAAAGATGACCCAGTGTCATCTTGCTACGTTACTGAAATTGTGTATGAAATGACTATTTTAAGATGAGCCCCTCTTCAGAAAACAAACACTGATTGCTGTGTTTCCAATCCAATGGACAAAGCTTTTATTTAAACCTTCACCAGTCACAAGATGGGAAAGAAATTGAATTGCAGTAAGTACTACAAACTTAATATTACATAACCAAATGCACTGCCATCAAATTTAACATCACGGGAAAACAAAACACAGGATTCACAACCTGCACCGTTTTCAATGAAAGCAAGATCCCTTATCACAGGTATCCCATAATATGTATCTGTGCAATCACTACTATTGAGAAACAATATATTTTATTTCAGCTTTGCCTGAATTCCATGTATTAATACTTAACATCAGAAACTGAAGATGTAGATTACTGACATAGCACAAGCTCATATACAGATGAAAACTAAGTCAATTTAAAGGGGGTGAGCAAAGAAAAAAAAGTTTGAGAATGCCTATTGTTTGCTCCTCTGTCACATGTTCCATCAGGCTGCCTGCAAAGCACATTCTTTCTTCAATTAAAGCAAATTATTAAATTCTTTAAGGTTCTAAATTGCATAACTTTTTTTAAAATTACATGATCAATCAATTTTCATGATTCAACTTTCTAACATTTGTTTCCTTGTTTTTGTCTTCAACAATTAGAATAAACTGCATGTGAACAAGTGAGAAAAAAATTTCAGTACATCTTCCTGATGTTCATGCATTTTAGGAATATTGTGCCACATATTTACACTCCATATTCTTAAGCTTGGAGCATCACATCTCCAAATAAAAACGTCAATGTCAACTTGGAATTAAAAACTAAACAGTGAGATGCTGCCAAAGGGAACAGTTCATTTAAATTAGTGAAAATGACATCACATCAGTAGCAATATATTTTAAGAAATACTTGTTATGTTACAATCAGCCAAATCTTCACTATGACGGAGTAAAGGATGCTAAGGTTTGACAGTCAAAGTGTATGCCAATACTGGAATATCTGCACAGAAAATAAGTTAGACATGGGACATTTCTCTCTCTTTGGAGACTAACAAGGAGCAACTTGGGCTGAAAAATGCTCATTTCTATGATTGATGCACTGAGGAAACGTCAACATAAATTGGGCAGGCAATGCAATTTGGAAATAGCTCCATTGGTGCTACCACTTTTGACCCAAGTTTGCTCTTGTGCTCCAGCAGGACTCAATTGGAGCTGGAGGAACAATATCTTATTTTCTGCTGAGACACTCAACAGACTGCAGAATTTAACATTCAGTTCAACAATTTCAGGCCTTGAACTTGGTTCTCCATTTTGATTACCTCTACTTTCCTTCATCTACAGTGACTTGTTTCCAAGAGTTGCTCTCGGTCCAACTGATATATTTTCTGCCATAAACACCTACGAAATATACATCTCTTCTCTAATATCATTCATACTTCTCTTGCCTTTTGCTCTGAGCACCTTCACAATTTTTTTTCGCTGACACCTCCAACCCATTTTTTACAACAAAATCTCAGTTTTCCAGATCCCTTCATTTCAAAAGAACAGTAATAGCAAACTTAAAATGTTAACTCAGTTTCTCTCTCCGCATATGCTGCCAGAATACAGCTTCTTGAGCACTTTCTCCTTAAAATATAACTTTTCCACCCAGCTTATGACTCCCTTCCCCAAAATTTAGTTATATAGCTCATGATCAATACTCTGCATTGTAACGTTCCCGTAAAGCACCTTGGAATGTTTGAATTTTGAAAGATGCTATACAAATGCCAATTGTGCTGTTGTTCTGCCAAGTTAGAATGAATTACGGAAGTTTTGGATGCAGACAACTCACTTGAACATCAGACCAAACATTCACAGGCAGTACTCTTGATTTATAAATTCTCTACTTTGTCTTCAAATATTTCAGTGGGTTTAGCATGCCAACAACATATCGTACTTCCAGAAAACCTTAAACATAATATAACATCCTAAGGCATTTCACATCAGCAAATTCAAAGAAAATTTAAATATTAAGTCACCTGAAGGGATACTGGAACAGGTAACCAGAAGCTTGGTCAACAATGTAGTTTGAAATGCTTCTGAGAAGCTAAGTTAAAAGAGTCAGCAACATAAAGAACTTTTGTGAAGGAATTCCAAAGCTTTGAGCATTTGGAACTGAACGCAAGCCACCAATGGTGTGGTGATTAAAAACCAAAATCAATCATGTTCAAGAGGCCAGAATAATAATAGGAAGAATTAAAAGATCTTTCAAAGGGTGTGGAGATGGAGGAGTCATACTGCCAACAACGTCTCTGGCTCTGAAAATGTAGCTTTACAAGTGCACAGTCCTGCTCCATCATAATAAATTTGTCTTGGAGAGTTTTGAAAACCAATGTAAACAAGTGGATAAAGTTTTATGGACTGTGTTTTTGAAATATTCTCTCACTTGCTTCACCCCATCCTTCTTTCCAATTTTCATTTTGTTTTCTGCATTTTATTTAAAAATTATTCAATTATAATCTACTTCCAGGTTTACACTTCCTCATTGAGAGTTGTTTCAGGGGAATTCTTCAATCCTACTAATTGAAGAGACTTGTTTCACAGACCAGGAGAGAGCATGGTGACTCAGTGGTTAGCCTCAGAGTGCCAAGGACCCGGGTTCAATTCCAGTCTTGGTGACTGTCTGAGTAGAGTTTGTGTCTGCGTGGGTTTCCTCTCGATGATCCGGTTTCCTCCCATTGTCCAAAAAATGTGCAGGTTAAGTGGACTGGCCATGCTAAATTGCCCCATAGAGTCCAGGGATGTGCAGGCTGGATGGGTTAGCCATTGTAAAAGTGGAGTTAGAGGGAGAGAGTCGGGGGCTAGGCCTGGGTAAGATGCTCTTCGAAGGATCAGTGTAGATTTGATGGGCTGAATAGCCTCTTTCTGCACTGTAGGGATTCTACCATTCTGCCTGCTCTCAAACACACCACAGATTCCTCGCAGAGGATGCTATATTTGATCAAACCACTGGTGTCACAATTCTCCAATGAAAAGCCTACAAAAAAAATCTGAGCAGCTGTAAGCATACTGAATAGCGGGCACCCTTCCTCAACAAAGGATCATTGCCAATATTCTGACCAAACCAACATATGAACAATAATGCATAGTGATTTAGTTACTTCTTTTATTATCAAATATTTGCCAATATGATCAATGTAAATAAGTCAAATTCAACAGCTCGTAATGTGCTTGGATTTTTGTACCTGCATGAATAGGTTGGCTCTCCAATTTTGAAAACATGCCCACACAGCTGAGATGATTTATTTGCCTTTTCAAGTTTTCTTATTCCCACAGCAGGATCCTCTCCACACAGGTACCATTCCATTGGCCCCAACAGAATATGCTGCGCCAACATTTCTTCATTAAGTGGATTAGGGTTAGAGCCTCTACAGTAAATCTTTGGTACATAATATGCAAGATGCTGGTACACATCTCTGTTCAAATCTGTTGCTTGAAGCCAGTTCTAAAGAAAGAAGACAAAGGCACAAATAAATATCTATTGCAAGAATCTAATATTTAAAACATACATACATGTGCAAAAGTGAAATTCGTGAAATTGACTCAGCAATTTCATTAGTTGTGCAGGAAGCATAAAAGGTCAAACATCCATTGTAAACTTCATGTAAGTTACATTTTTCTGAGCCAATCAACCATGACAGATAGCTCAAGGAAGCCAACGTCAACATTCATGGTTGCAATCAGAATAGCTAACTGGATCTTGGATTGTCTTTACCTGAATTAGTGGTCTGTTAAGTGCCTTGGCACATCTTTCCAAGTTCAATGTGCGATAAAAATCATACAGTTGTTCAACATAGGGGGTGGTCACTTGCCAAAGACCGCTGAACTCTTTCAAAGGAGTTTATCCCTTTTCTTTGTTCCTTCTGGATATTGCTGCATTTTTTTTTAAAGCATTCAACTCATTCACTTCTGAAGACAAGTACTGAATCAGCATTCAGTGCCTTAGCAGCCAGTGTATTCTGTACCAAAACTCTTTGCATGACGAAGTATTTTAAGTCTCCTCTAATTATCTCAGGAATCACCTTAAATCTGTACCCACAGGTGATCAACCCTTTAGCTTTAAAAACAGTCTTTTTTTCTTTTAGTCTTTCTAAACTTTACAAAATTTTAAACATCTCACAAAAACTTGAGTTGTCTCTGCTCTTAAGGAGAATATCTTTTCATCTCCTCCAAACTAGCCTTTCAACTCTCATTCCTTAAACCATTCTATACTCAAAACAAGCTACAAGACCATCAAAATAAAACACATGACAGCAAGTTGTTGTTCTTGGACCACCAGAACGAGAATCCAAATCCGAGATGGTTACGGCACGTCAAAGAACAAAGATATATTTGCGTAGTGCATTTTTTGTTCATCTAGAAACGTCATGGTACTGCAGCCAATTTACAAACTGTAAATTCTTAAAAGTAGCAAAAAATTCATTGCATTGCAAGTGATCAAAATGAAAAAAAGTTGACGAGCACAAGCAAAGAACCCAATGAACACATTTCAACTGTGCTAAGTACTGTTATTTTCTGTATGTAAAGCGCCTCCACAGCACTATATTCAATGTCAATCCTTATTAACTGCTCAATTTCCAGAAGACACTTGATTGAATAAGGTGCCATTTCAGAAGTTGGGTTGCTGATTAGCTCAGTTGGCTGGACTGTTGGCATGCAATGCATAAGTGAGTAATTTTCTGGTTGTAAGATGCAATGAATTGTATGTGCACATGGATCAGTCCTGGGACCTCAACATTTTTTAAGCTTACGTAAATAACTGTGATGAAGGGACCAAAGATACAGTCATAGACGTACAGCATGGAAACAGACCCTTTGGTCCAACTCGTCCATGCCAACCAGATATCCTAATTTAATCTAGTCCCATTTGCCAGCATTTGGCCCATATCCTTTGAAACCCTTCCTATTCAAGTACCCATCCAGATGCCTTTTAAATGTTGTATTTATACCACTTTACCACTTCTTCTGGCATCCCGTTCCGTACACACACCACCGGTGTGAAAAGCGTGCCCCTTAGGTCCCTTTTAAATCATTCCCCTCTCACCTTAAACGTATGCCCTCTAGTTTTGGACTCTCCCACCCCAGGGAAAAGACCTTGTCTATTTATCCTATCTACCTGCAACTCCACTTTCAAGGAACAATGAACCTGCAGCCTCCAAGGTCTCTGTTCTCTCCCCAAGACCTTACCAATAAGTGTATAAGTCCTGCCCTGATTTGCCTTTCCAAAATGCAGCACCTCACATTCATCTAAATTAAACTCCACTGGCCCATCTGATCGGGATTCCGTGTAATCTGAGGTAACCTCCTTCACTGTCCACTACACATCCAATGTTGGTGTCTTCCACAAACTTACTAACCATACCTCCAATGTTCACATCCAAATCATTTAAGTAAATGACAAAAAGCAGTGGACTCAGCACTGATCCTTGTGACACACTGCACCAATCATTATGGCACACAGCTGATCACAAGCCTCAAGTCTGAAAAGCAACCTGCCGCCACCACCCTCTGTCTTCTACCTTCGAGCCAGTTCTCTCTCTATTCCTTGTGCTCTAATCTTGATAACCAGTCTAACATGAAGAACCTTTGTGGGTTATAAATTTGCTGACAATTTGTGAAGAGAACAATAACATGCTTCCATAGCATCCTTAAGTGACTGGACAAAGATTTGGCAGAGTTTAATGTGGGAAAGTTGTGAAATTGTCCATTTTGGCAGGAATATATAAAGAAGTAAATAATCAATTCACTTAGATATTGCAATGCAGAGGAATCTCTGATATCCAGCTACAAGTAATTAGGAAAGCCAGCAGAATGTAACTTTATTGCAAGCTGATTTGAAGACAAAAGTAGGAGGTTGTGCTTCAATTGTACAGGGCATTAGTGAGACCAAAACTGGATTACTGTGTATGGCATCAGTCACCTTATTGAAGGAAGGACATAAATATGTTGGAAGCATTTCAGCAAGGATTTACACAATACCTGAAATGAGCAGGTTGTCTAATGAGGATGATTGGGCAGGCTACACTAGGTTCAAGTTTTGAAGAGTAAGAGGTGGACTTAATTGAAACATACACGATCCTGAAGGGTCCTGACTGGTGCTTGATGGAATGTATCCTCCCCGGGAGAATTTAAAATTAAGGGTCGGACAGAGATAAAGAAAAAATGGTCAATTAGAGAATTGGGGGTCTTTGGAACTCTCCCTGAAAATGCAGTGGAAGTAGTCTTTGAATGTTTTTAAGGCAGAGGTGGATACATTGTTTATAAGTAAGGAAATGAAAGGCTACTTGGGAGTGGAGCATTCAGATTATTCATAATCTCATTTAACAGCAGAGCATACTTGAGGGACCAAGTGGCATACTCCTGCTCCAAAATCACAAGTTCCTAAGCACCAGGAATGGGGCTTGAACCAATTACTTCATTCAGGCTCAAACCGGTATCACTGATCCATGTCTACACCTGCAGTCATCAACTGGGACCCAACTTTAATGCAGTCCATAGGTCCACATTTTGAGACTGCTTTAATCGCTGATATTACATTACATTAAGATTCTTCCAAAAATGCCAAACCAAAAGCCAGAATAATAACATTAAGACTGTCATCCCAGCTGATGGTAATACTCGACAAGCCTGATCCCAGAGTGAGATCCAGATTGATTACCAAGGAGCTCAGTCACTGAACATGTGCACAAGGTTGCCAACATGCTTTTTACCAAGAACGTAAAAGTTTACTATCACTAGTGAAAAGCATAAATTATACTACACGGGAAATATTGGAATGATCTCATTATAAAAAACAGAAAGAAAGATTCATTGCCTTCATCCCAACAGTACCTTTATAAAATTTAAAACTTATTGAAGAATCACCCCTACCTCCATGCCTCCAGGTAGATACAATTACAACATTTAAAAGATATTTGGCTGGGTTCACAGATAGGAAAGATTTCAAGAGAAATGGGGTAAACGCTGGCAAATGGTACTAGTTCAGTTTAGGAAACCTGGTCAACATGGACGAGTTGGGATGAAGATTTGTTTCCATGCTGTATGACTATCCAACTCCATTGACACGTTTCACCAGTTCTTTTGATCTTTAAATCAAATGAATAGTTGATTCAGCAAGTTCCTTTCTTTATGAAATGGATGCCTGAATATTATTTTCACAAAGATTTTCATATTTTCAACAAATTTTCTCTGCTATGACACAGTTCACACGATTTTGCAATGACTGTTGCATGGATATCAGTATAAGTTTGACCAATATTTGTACGGAGAAAACAGGTGCCTTAATTAGTCATATGGCTGTTAGCTCATTGAATGGTTCCAAATCATTTGTACAGTATATATACTTTGGCAATGCTCATGCATGCTGGTTTCCACCTTCTGGTGTGGATTTGAGACCTGTCTCCTTGCCCGGTGATCGAAGTTATGGTGCTGTGGGCCAGTAATGCCAAAGCCACAGCCACTTTGCATGAGAGTTGGTTGGCTAAGGGTGAAAGATGGAAATGCGATCTCAAACTGATCAAAGTTAGCAGTATTAGTCATGAGTAACATATGGAGTTTGTAAACCAGCACAGGTTGAAGAGAGTACCTAAAGTGCAAAATTTCTGGTACAACCTGAGGGAGCAGCCAGAGAAATTCAGTGAGGAACCCTCTGGCATATCCAAACTGACAATTCTGGTCTGCTTGAGGTTCAAACCTAGTAGTTCCACTGGAACAGCTTAACATTTACACCTACCCAGCAATGTGAAAAATTGCTGAGCTATGTCCTGTACAAAAAGCAGGACAAATCCAAACCAGCCAATTACTGCCCAATCAGTTGACTCTCAATGCTCAGCAAGGTTATGGAGGGGGTCATTGTCAGAGCTATGCTCGCAAGTGGCACATGTTCAGAAATAACCTACTCAGCAAAGTGTCCTCAAAGCTATGAAATTCTGAGAGCTGACACACCGCCTTTGGGTTCCAAAAGCTGCTGCCATGCAGGGATCTCAGAGGTCTGCGCAACAGACAGGAGGATGTCGAGAAAATGTAGCTGCTCACTGACACTCAATTTTGAGTTCCACCAGGACCACAACTCCTGATGTTTTTATCCTTCATCGAAACATGGACAAAAGACCGGACTAACTCCAGAAGGGAAGCGACAGTGACTGCCGTTGACATCAAGCAGCATTTGGCCAAGTTTGGCGAAGGACAAGGACATCAGATACACAGGAGCATGGCTACCTCCAACATTTCCTTGAAATCAACACCATTCGGACTCAGAAATATAACTGCCGTTGCTTCTTCATTTCTGGGTCTGAACTCTGGAATTCCCTACTGAATAGCATTCCATGTGTACCTACACCCAAGGGTTCAAGCTGTTTAAGAATACAGCTCATCATCACTTTCTCAAGTCTAATTAATGATTTGATTTGCTTTATTTTCACGTATACCTAAATACAGTGAAAACCTTTGTTTGTGAGCAGTACAGACAGATCATAGTAAGCAAGGACATGCAGGATCATATAGAGTGAGACATACAGGTTACACTGCACAGCACGTGTGCGAGGCAAGATCTTAGCCATCCATCTGCGATGACCAAATGAAAATGAATAAATGTCTGCCTTCTGACCTGAATCTGATCTGAAAAGGTTGTGACAAAGTAAGCCCACATATATCTTTCGCCAAGTGCAGAAAGTGATGGGATGAATAATTTCACTGAGGAGTGCCATGCAAATGAGGATATCAAAATAACATCCGAAATTAATGTAGATTAGTGACAAGGTAGTTACACAGAATTAGGATGACAAACCATTGCTTAAAATTAGCGAGTCAAACTGATCGAAAAAATTCTGCTAAGTGAAACCGTATTGCAAAGACAGGGAAAGATGACATGGCCAATGGTATCAATGTCATTAAAAGGAATAAAAACTTCCATTGTAACACAAATGGGTGTTACTGAATTGACTCAAAGTTGTGGGCAATATGAAAAGTTGAACTGGAAGAATTCAAACAAAAAGATTAGTAAAACAGTCGGTGACATCAATGTTTCAATGATCTCAAGAGACATTTGATAATTGGTAAGGTTCAGAGACACTCCTGACTTCATTATACAATCGGGCCATGTTCCAATTCAGGACTGACTTCAGAATTTATAAACGTCATTGCAAAGCAATACAAATTTTTGAACATAAATATCAGCTGGGCTCGTAATTAACACATTCATCTGATCCAGCTGATTATAGATCTGAACTCCTCCCCAGTTTGAGAACATGTCTCAGCTGAAAATGACAAGCTTATTTGAACTAGTAGGCCTGATGAGACATCTGAGCAATGAGCATATTGAATGCGCTTAGGGAGGCATTAGCATGCATTTCACCTTTTCTTTGAGAATAAAACTGGAATATATAGCGAGCCTTAGAAACTCTCTCTATTAAGGTCCTCAGTGTTTTGGAATGTTTCTCATGGCCTCATGAAATCAGAGATTTAATTTGAAGAAAAGTCTATCACTTGCTTCAAGACCTGACTGCAGGATTTTTCAAAAACTTTACAGTCCAAGTCCAAGTCCAAACCCAAACTAGTTCTTTTTTTCCATGAATGCAGGTTACAGCTATTCTGCCTGTGGAATGCCTATACGTTGTAATTTGCAGACCAAACGACAGCAGACCCGAATTTAATCACTAACACTGTGCAAGATGTCTCTGGAGAAACTACATTTTATTACAATTAGGCCTAAGGCACCAGCTTCCAACATGTACTTGCATTTCCATGTGACTATTTTTGCAGGTTTTCCATGCACCTCTTCAAATATTCCCCCTCAAAATGAGATAGTTATGTGATGGGTAATAACACGTCTCAGGAAATAATTTTTCAGTATATACTGAGAAAAGCCCCCAGGTTTCACGGATTCCTTCACTCGCAAAATTGATGTCACTCACTACTTTGTTGCTGCTATTCCACTAACTCTTCAACCACTTCCCACAGTCCATAACCAATAATACCCGAATCCGAACAGCCTCAAATTCCTGAAAGTCCCATATCTATCACTCTGTATTCCAGAAGCTTTCATCTTCTGAATTAAATTAATCCTATCCAGACAGTGCCACACTCCTTAACCACTGAACCCGAGATGAGGGAGCAATTCACTGTCAAAGGTACTGTTCTTCAGATGAGACATTAAATTAGACTCTGTGCGCTGTTTCAGGTGTTGGAGAAGTTCCCAAGGCTGTATTCAGACACTGAATTTCTCCCGACATCTTGGTTAACAATAATGGAAGACTGCAACTCCAACAACATTCAAGAAGCTTGACACCATCCAGGACAAAGCAGAACCATATCCATAAACTTTCACTTCTTTCACCACTGACGCTTAGTAGCGGCATACAGTCGTAGGGTCACACAGCATGGAAACAGACCCTTCAGTCAAACTCGCCCACGTCGACCAAGTTTCCCCAACTAAACTCGTCGTGTTTCTCTCTAAATCTTTCCCGTCCAAATGTCTTTTAAATATTGGAACTGTACCTGCACCGACCACTTCCTCCAACAGTTCAATCCACACACAACAGTGTCTACAATCTACAAAATGCGCAACAGAAATTCACAATTCCGTAGCCAGCACCTTCCAAACCCACAGTCGCAACGATGTAGAAGGACAAGGGTTGCAGTTACATGGGAGCTCTAATCATCTGCATTCCCCTCAAAGACATTTCCCATCTGACTTGGAGAGTTTTAGTTATGAAGAGATATTGGATAGACTGGGACAACAAGGTGCAGGGCTGGATGAACACAGCAGGCGAAGCAGCATCATAGGAGCAGAGAGGCTGACGTTTCGGGCCTAGACCCTTCATCAGAAAAGGGGGAGGGGAAGGGGGTTTTGAAATAAATAGGGAGAGAGTGGGAGGCGGATAGAAGAGGGATAGAGGAGAGGAAACAAACAGGTCGAAGAGGCGGGGATGGAGCCAGTAAAGGTGAGTGTAGGTAGGGAGTTAGGAAGGGGATAGGTCAGTCCAGGGAGGACGGACAGGTCAAGGGGGCGGGATGAGGTTGGTCGGTAGGAGATGGAGGTGCGGCTTGAGGTGGGAGGAGGGGATAGGTGGGAGGAAGAACAGGTTAGGGAGGCAGGGACGAGCTGGACTGGTTTTGGGATGCGGTAGGGGGAGGGGAGATTTTGAAACTTGTGAAATCCACTGGATAGACTGGGATTGTTTTCCTTGGAGCAGAACAGACTGAGGCAGGTACGTTACTGAAATGTATAAAATTACAAGGGACATAGACAGGATAGACTTTTTTCCTTGGTGGAGAGATCTATGACCAGGAGGCACAAATTTAAGGTAAAGGGTTTAGAAGGGATGTGGGGAAAAATATTTTCACCATGAGGGTGGGGGAATCTGGAGTCGACTGTCTGTAAGAGTGGTAGAAGCAGAAATCCCTATACATTTAAGAAGTATTTAGATGCACACTTGCGATGACGAAGCATACAAGGCTGTGGGCTAAGTGCTGGAAAGTGGGATGAAGATTGTTAGTTTTTTTGTTTTTGATGTGTGCAGATTTGATGAGCAAATGCCTTTCTCTGTCTGTACACCTTCATGGCTTTAAAATATCATTTTTTCAGTGTGACTGGTTTTGAATCCTGGAACTCTGTCCCTTAACAGTATTTTGGTTTCACGTACATAAAACAGACCATCTCAAGGATAACCTTGGATGAGCAGCAAGTGCTGCTCTAGCTAGCGACACGCAAATCCTAAAAATGAACGAAAAAATCCTTTGACCATGAACACCACCAAAACACTATCTAATTCAGGGATTCAATGCTGTGTGCAACCTACAACCACGCTTCTGTGTAGTACAATACTTCAAAAATTGGCCACAACATGCTTTGACATCCTGAGAGATATACATGTTTTCTTTCTTATGTTGTTGGGTTAACACTTTTTCCTGACCAACATTAACCTACAACCAATTGAACCAAATTGACTATTTTGCCTACCTTATAAATACTATAAATCAAAATATCTATTAAGTACTTATGGCATCCTGGACACATGAAGTCTTCGCCCATAAAACGCCTTTTATATAACGTAGGCAGAGTAAATTTCTTGGCAGGTCGACGAGGTTTTAAATCCTCTTCAAATGCTAATATAGTTTACTGGAGGGAAAAAGAAACTACACAACTGAAACATTCATATGGGGTGGTAAAAGACCCAAATTGTACACTTCCAAATGGCTACAACAAACATTTGGAGTGTGTCCAATTAACAGTTAACGGCCGATATTTCATCATGAACATTTTAACTCCGAAAGATCGTTTCCGGTCGTCAATCGGCTCCTGTGAATTCGCATTCGGGATAATTAATTATTAGTTACATATCATGAGAGTGGATGTCGAAGAATTTGTTTTTGATGAGGTTGTAACTTCAAGTCAACAGCAGGAAGTGCTGAGTCCGGCAAGTTAACAACACAAATGTAAAACAAGTCATAGGAGAGAGAAATAAATACGATCGTCCTTGGGTTTCGTATAGATCCGCCTCAGAGCTTGTCCTTTCATCGAACGGGTGAAACACCATGTCTCAGCAGATCGGAGGACACGACCGCAAGCCTGGGAGAGGTCTTTACATAGCAACCTTCCCAGGGTCTGAGAAAGACAAACTGCTTCTTGAGCGGTACACAAACCAGACTGAGCACGGGTTCCCCACCCTATTAGTTAGCAGAAAATTAACACAACGTGCAGTATATATCGTACCAAGGCGACGTCCTTCGCCGAACACTCCATTAAAAACTTCGGGATGGCCGGAACCTCTTCCGTCTCTGTGGCCGCCATCTTGGATTTCTCGGCCTGAGAAAAGGAGCAGGTCACCAAGGCCAAACATCCGTTCTCTACAGGCATGGGCTCCATCTCAACCTATCAGACTATTGTAATGTTAACACGAATCATCAGGATATTAAGTTAAGACAAAACTACTCATTTTATTTGTTATTTAAAAGTTTTTGCAAACGTTTTAACTGCCAAAGAATTAACTTGTTGAACAATTTATATTTCACTAAATTTACCTTCTGCGCAACTCCTCCCCCAATTCCCTTGATGAGAACACGGAAACAAAGTACTGCAAATTCTAGAAATCTGAACGAAAAACAGACAATGCCAGCCTATTGACCCTGAAGGTCTCTCTCCACAAATGCTAGAAATCTGAACTCAAAACGGAAAATGCTTTCACATTCATGTCGAAGACCTCTGTACAGGTGCTGCCTCTTATGCTGAGTATTTCCAGAATTTTCTGTTGATATTCTCTTGATTAGACGTTTTTTTAATAATCACCTTTCTTATAGTGGACCTGTTTTTGTTTGACCCTGAATAAAATGTGCAAATTATTGCATTGACTATTCAGAAATAACAAAAGAAATCAAATCCTGTGTCAGCTGATCTTAACTTCAGTGTTCTAAATTCTGAAGAAGTCACTGGTCTCAAAATGTTGACTCTGCTTTCACTCCACAGATGCTGCCAGACCGGGTAAGTTCCTCCAGTATTTTCTATTTTTGTTTCATATTTCCAGCATCCACAGTTTGTTTTATTACATTAACCTTTGTGTTCTTTAGTTACCAAAGGAAAAAGGTAGTAATTTCCCTAACTCCTGATTTTAATGCAACAGTCCCTACATGCTGGAATTGTTCTGTGGTCAGTACAAATATATAAGGATTGGAGGAAAGAACCAACCGCTATAGCCATACCCTCTGATGTTGAAGAAGCTGCAAACCAGAGGTGACTCATCAAGTTAGGTGTGCTGCTGCAGACATATTTTCAATCCTGAGGGTGAAGTCATGCCTCAGACTTGGAACAAAATATGGTGACCACGAAACTACTGGATTGATGTAAAAACTTATCTGGTTTAGAATTTCAAATCCACAGCAATCTCATCAACTGAATCTCTCTCTGAAATGGCAAGAAAACCATTCAATTGCATTCAAAAATGCAGCTTATCATCATCCTTTCATTGGCAGTTGGGATGGATTGTGGATGATGATAGAACCATTGCATTTTTGCTTTCCCTTGACCCAAACCACCAGAATTTATCAGTAACCCTACTGCCTTGAATCGTTCACACTGGGAAGTGGTGGGTCACTTATTGGAAAGAAAATGTCATAGAAGGATACCTATTACATGAAGCTTTATGTTAAATTCATGATCATGAGATTGTGAGGAAATAGTAATAGGCTTCAGAGGACACAAAGGGCATGATTTTCAATTGTGTTTCTGAGGAAGGGTCACTGGAACCAAAATGTTAACTCTGTTTTTCCCTTCACAGATGCTGCCAGACCTGCTGGGCTTTTCCAGCAACTTTGTTTTTGTTCCTGATTTACAGCATCCACACTTCTTTCAGTTTTTATTCATGATTTTCAGTTGTGGTTTGGGAACACAATGCCTGGATAATTTTCAGATCATGACAGCTGTGTCAGTGTCACAATGAGATTTTGAAATATACATGCCCTAACTGGGCTGGAGCTGAATTGGTGCCCAGTTACCAGTGTCAAGTCTTAACAGGAAGCTGGAACTGTCTGGAGAGCGCGTAGCAAAGGCAAGTAGCAGCCTGACGGGGCCTGCTCATGCTTGCAGAAGAAAGGAGGCACTGTCTTGGAGGACCAGCAGTGTCAACATATATAAAAGTGGCAAAGCAGCCAACATGAGAGGTAATGCACTCAATTTGATTGCACATATGCACTCAAATCTAATTATTGGAATGGCATAGTCACTCAGTGGTTCAACCTCTTCTCATCAATGTATTCAAGTACTTTCCAAGATTTATCTACTAAAACAATTGTCGCCTTAGCAGCAACCGGTATAAGGTTAGAAGTATTTGCTTCAAAGTGCAGTGAAATATCCTTCCCATTATTATAAATATGGCCTCAGGAGTAATCTGCACAAAGTTAGAATAATATGTTTCAACCTGTAATCAAATGGCCTTGAAAGGCATCCTCCAGTATGATTGGCCATTCTGATATTAGTTTCAGAATAATTAAAAACTGCATTGGACAAATGGAAATGGAAATGAGATTCATCGTACAATCATAGAGTTGTACAACAAAGAAAGAGACCATTTGGCTTGTTGTAGCTATATCAATTCTTTGAAAGAGCAACTCATTCAGTCCCACAGTCTTGTTCTTTCCCACAATCCTATAATTTTGTTCCTTCGAGTACTTAACCTAATTCTTTTGTGATAGTTGCCATAGAATCTGCTTCCAAGACCCTTTCAGGCTGTATATTACAGGTTATAATAAAACATAATACAAAAAGTTACCTCAGCCCTGGCATTTTCTTACAATTTTGTTAAACTTATATCCCTAGTTATTGACCTGAGGAGAAAACAGGTTCTCATTTACTCAATCAAAACCGTTCATGATTTTGCAAATCCCATCTTCTCTGCTTGAAGAAAACTCTCACAACTTCTCTGTTCCCTCCACGTAACTGAGGCCCTTCACGCCTGGTTCCATGGACCATTTCTGGTGATGAGATGCAGAACCATTACCTTACACAAAATTCTCAATCGGTCTAGACCTCGAACAACAGAAGCAATGCTGCAAGAAAATTAAAATTGGCATCTCAACAATCTCACCAAGGTGATATTTCACAGTCAATACCTCATTGCCACCCTTTCAATCTCCAGCCATCTGAAGTTACAGTCAGCCAAATAGTGCCTGATCAATACTCAAGTCCATTATAACAGACATTTTTGAAGAAGTCTTTGGCATCTCGACCAGCAAACATTGACTGCTTTGACAAAAATGACTAAAAGATACAGGACTACTTGAGCAAAGGTGCAAAACTTTTATACTGGAAACTTTGTCAGAACTCAAGGGAAGAGCAGCATTCTTACTGGTATCTGAAGGCAACGGTACAGCATGAAAAACCTTATATAAAGAACAAATGGTGAGTGGAAAGAATATAGGGGATCCAACAACTGGCAACAACAGTTGTAGTTTCTTAGGTGCTGTCACAGTATATTTCTGGTGCAGCTACACAACTTGATTTTCCTCAACTGGGAAAAGAAGTGCAATTTCAGAAATGTTGTAATGATGATTTTATTCAAGAAGGCAGACAAGTCTGATTCCAGAACCTGCAAAGAAGTCTCTCCATGCATGCCACAGGGAAGTGTATTGCAAGGTTACTCATCAGTTGTCTCTTCCAAGCTGCAGTGTGGTTTTCACCCATCAAGATGGATAACAGACACGATGTTCATGTTGCAACAAATTAAAGAAAAATTCAAGCAACAGCACCAACTGTTGTTCTTGGACGTTTTAATCACACAAAAGCTTCTGCCGACTGTGAAACCAAATGTGGGGTGAATATTTCCAGAAAGCAGCCTTCAGAAGTTTGTCACCAACCTTTGCATGTCCAACAATGATATGCAAGTTTTGCTGCTCGTCAATGGAATTGCCACACACTGCATTTCAGTGAAGTCTGGAGTCAAGCAAGGCTGAATGATTGCATAGACCTCTTCTTCATCTTCTTCACTGCAACACTGCATCTCGTCACCAGAAATTTACCCACTGGCATAAAGATAATTTACAGAACAAAAACAGAAACTGTTCAAGCTGTGCTGATTTCAGTTTAAAGCCAAAATTATTTTAACTTAAGTCATTAAGCTCGAGTATGCTAATGCCTGTGTGCTCACACAAAAACTAAGCTCCATCCTTCTCTGAAGTATGTAAGAAAATGGATCTTGAAAACTGCATGATTTATATATATATATATATATAAACATAACTTTTGGAATGCAAATGTTACCGTCGAGGCAGATCAATGTCGTTCATTCTTTATGAATGATTTTATTTTAAAGAAAACCATGTCAAAGTACTTGTGAAACAGTGATCTTAGTCTAGTGTTCCTCAGAAAGCAAGTTGAAGTACACCACTGTGGTGTGTTCATACTGTGGTGATTTATGACAGGTGGATAAATCGTGAAAGCCTGTTTTCAATTCAGAATAATCAAAGATTGATTTCAGTTTAGAAAACCCAGAGACTGGAAGTATTTTAAATTAATTTGGAACAATCCTGATTATGAACGGAAAGACAAGTTTAGCTTCTCTCCCCAGGGAGTTCAGGACAGTTCAGGGAAAAAACAATCATCTCAATAGAAAAGTTTAATTGGTGCAGCTTCCAAGGAAACTTTGTTGAGAACTCTGAAAGTTATTAGGAGCTGAGAAGATTTAAGCTCTCAGTTTTGTGAGTTTTCATGCAAAGGTTCCAAATGTTCACAGGAAAACATAACTTTAAAATTTGATATGAAGGGGTAATTTCTGTGAATTGAATCTCTCTCTGTAAGTTGATGGCCTTAGGAAACAGATAGAAACTCAGTTTTGCTGTGTGTGTTATGACTTATCTAATTTGTCTCCTATATATAGACAGCTGGTATTTTTTTTTAGTTCTCATGTTTATGGAATAAACTTTTGCACTTCTGTTAAAGAAACTCTGCAACCTCTAGTGTTTCAGTGACTGACCATTAACTAAAATAAAAAAAACACTATGATCAATCAGCCAGCTTTTATTCTGAGATCTGACTTGTCCAGTAGTATCATCAGCTGGGATTATCAAGACCTGGAAAGCTAAGTTCCATTTCAACCAGTTTTCACATCACAACACCGCCCCACCACCGATTAAGATCAGTTAAAAAATCCTGGAAATACGCACCACTTTTTATACCATGACAGCCTCATCCCAACAGAGAGATATATAGACGTTTAAACTTATCATTGCCTTCAAAATATCAGCTCAGCCTTTGATCGACTGAGGAGAACAATATTTGAGGATTGAGTTTTCAAACTCAAAACTAAGTTTCACTGGGCAGTAGTGTCATGAATCATAAGCTATTCTGGTTTACCATTA